CATTACAGTTTAAATACTTGCTACAGGGTTTCAATTTTACTCCCTCTGACAATTCAACAGTTTGTTTGAGCATTTTGAAATCAATGTGCCCTAGACGTCTTTGCAGTAAATGTATACATTCATCATGTGGCTTAACATTGTTATAAACTGAGTTAGCCATCTTCAACTGATTATCATGTATCACATATAAATCATTCTCTAAATTAGCAGTAACACTTTTACCCTCTTTCTCTATTATACAGTTATCTCCCCTAAAGGTTACTACATAACCATGATTAACTAAAGCCCTTACTGATAATAAATTAAATTTTAGTTTAGGTACATATAACATAGTTAAATGTTCGTTTATACAAGAACAATATGCAGTACCTTCACCTGATGCTTTAATCTTCTATCCATTTGCCAATGATACATGCTGTTTACTCGTGGACATCTTTACAAACCTTTTTCGATCTTTAGTAATGCACTGCGATGCTCCACTATCAACAACCCACAAATCATGGTTTACAGTTGAATTGCTAGACATAGCTAAACTAACATTCTTCTTAGCTTTCTGGTGTTTACTAGTATTCTGTTGTTTTCCTTTCTTACAGAATCTAGCTATATGTCCCCTAGCCCTACAAGAAAAACATTTCCTAACAGTATAGGCAGTTGAAGACAAATCCTCTTCTTGGGGTTGTTCCTTCCTCAGTTGATCTCTATCCAGCCGTCTTCTTGCTTCTTCTAACAATCTTCCGGTTATGTCAACCAATGTCAGTTTATCTCTGGGCAGGACTTCCAGTGAAGATATGTAATCATCATAACTTTCATCCAATGAGGAAAGAATGATGTAAACTTGATGCAGCTCTGAAAATATCAGTTCTTTTTCATGTAGCTCTTGAAAAGTTCTTTCCATGAAATTCAAATGAGCTAACATATCTCCACCTGTCAGAAGATGTGCTCTAAACAGTTTACGTGTAAGATGTATGTGTGCACTTACACTGTCACGAACATAAATCATCTTCAAATTCTCCCAACACCTAGCAGCAGACTCTTCTCCACGAATATGGACTAGCTGCTGGTCACTCAGTATTAGTCCAATTATACAAAGAGCTCGTTCGTTGTTCTGTTTAAAGTCAGCAAGCTTCTTGGCATCGTGCTCATTTTCTGGATCCCAAGCATTTACATCCGGTGGGTCTTGAACTACATTCCATAACCCTTCTCTACGCAGAAGTAGACTGCACTTCATAGACCAGGAAACATAGTTTGTTCCATCCAACCGGGTTATCAGTGATAGACTTGTTGAAGTGACTTGTGCCATCTTTACCAGGATAGTAACCACAGTTAAACAGTAAACAGCTGTCGGTATACAGTACTGTGTATTCACACCAACTCTCAGTTATCTGAGCCTGGTATGGCCTGGGCCCATAACCAGTGTTGAGGTAATTCCCCGTTAGGAGAATGAGCGCATACAGGGAGAGTATTGAGAGTAGTGTTTGAATAATACACACACACACAGCACACAGATACACTGTACAGTAAATGTAGGTTTTTACTTCCAGAAATGTTTAAGCAAAGTTCAAACACAGTCCAAAGTCATTCACAGGTAAATCAGTCAGTTTTCAATCCAGCGATAATTACAATATCAAAGTCCAGTGTCAAAAACAGTTCAGTATCAGACTTACATCAAATCCAAGAATAGCAGTCAATAGAAGGAACGGCAATATTCTCCAACAGAAGGAAACAAAGACTCACTCACACTCTCTTCTGAGACTAAGACTAAACAACCCAGGTTTCTGGCTCCATCTTATGGCTGTTTGAGAAACCACACCTAATTACAGTTTTGCATTTTCTTAAAGAGATAGTATTAAAATGTCTATCCTGGTTTATATATTTCCAACCCAAATAACTGTTAGGTGACTTATATTCCTAACAATGGGTATCGCTGCATTTGGTTTTTTTAATCACGTGAAGGGTTGTGTTCTGTTTAGCATCATCCACGTTTTCAGTATATGATTTTATTTTCAGATTTTATAAAACATTGTTGCTAATATAAGATTGTGTAAAATCTGCCATTATTATACATTTTGCAGTAAATACAGTGAAAATAAGATTTATTTTTGAAGACTTTTGCCAAATTATCTCAAATTTTCAATGCAGTTTGGGTGTCATATTGTACTGAATTGTACCTGAAAGATTAGCTTGGTTCTTTCTGGCATCACTTTTAGACATGTTGCATTTCAAAATATCTACATTTGTTATTCTATTTTTCTATTTTAAGGACAATGCTTTTTTTGTTTTACAAATCTGCGTGCTGATATAATTATAGGGTTTCCAGCATGGGGTTGGACTCCAAGGTCCCTCCAAACTCTGTTATTCTGTTAATTTTTCATTCTTTTCTTTTCATTGACCAATATAAAACTATTTTTATTGCAAAAAGTTTACTTGCAAATGGATGCACTTTTAAATTACAATTGAGTATAATATTCTAGATTTTATAAAGGCAATGAGGTCTGCTGCTCCTAGTGGTGCCACTAGGATGCTGCCCACTCACCAGGGCAGTGCTGAGTTGAACACAGACTAAATTGACATCAGGCGCAGGCAATAAGCCAGTTGGTTGGGTGAGGGGGGCTGTTGTTGTTTTTTGTTGTTTTTGCAACCAATGGATCTACAGTCATATCCATCAAACAATTCTAAATTTTATAAAGACTGTGAATTTATTTACTTCATTATTATGTGGAACTCCCTGGCAAGTGTTTAATTTGATTTTATTTATTAGATTAGTTTAATCCTAGGAAAAGCATAGTTTCCAAGTGTCTGGAATTATAAAGAAAAACGTATTTAATTACAAGGTATGTATTGGATGTATTTGCTCTAAATGGAGAAAAAGTCTTGTGCAGCACAATGCTAAGTATTCACAAGGGTTTGTAACCTTAGAAATCCATCTCGGAAAACAGAGATTTAAACTTGCCAAAAATAGCCAGAAGGTATTTAAAAGTTCCAGTCCAACTACTTCTCCATTCTGAACATTTGTTTAACACAGCTGACTATGGAAACACTTATGGTACTATGAAATAAAATTTGCCCTGATGCTTGCCAGCAATTGCTTTGAGGATCTCTAAAGTTTCATGAATATTACTCACCAAGTGCAAAGTTCTTACTTGTAATAATCTGCATTAAGAAGAAACTGACATTGTATTGCAAAAAGGGCAGCAAACAGGGTTTCTGAATTTATCAGAGCCATCTAGTAACTATCTAGTTTTTTGCAGCCCAGGTCTGTTAGTTCTGATTTAATTTTAAGTCTAAATCTAAATTTGCTTCAGGTGATTAAGGCTAAGTGTTGTAACATTAGTTACAGATCAAAAAATTATTGACTAACATGCAATCCTTATCTTATCTTGGATAAGATATCTTATCTTGGAAAAAAAAGCTGTGTCCTTACTAATATTTGCAATAGTGTCAAATTAGCCTGTTTACATATTCAGATATTTTGAAAAACATCAGTAATTGGAAAATGCAAACAAACAAATATCTGTATTGGTAACACATACTGTTTCTTTTCCTTTCAAAGCCTCTCATCTATCTTTGAGCCCAAACTAGAAGAAAATATATGTTCAATTTGTGCAATCATTTAAAAAAAGAAAACAATCTATAAATTGTAATTAGCCTTACCAATTTCAGTCATGTACATTTTCCCATTAGATGGTAGGGGAATATATTGGTTAGAGAAGAAGTTGCTTCCATACCCCAGGACGAAACCTTCCAGTTTAGTGCTTGGAGTTGGACGAATGTATCTCATGCACACTGCATCACTGGTTACATTGATCTGAACTTTCAGGCTTTGTTTTTTAACTAAATGTAGCAAAAGAACAAGAAAAAGAGAAATTTGATTACAGCATAAAATAATCACCATACACACACACACACACACACACACACACACCAAATACTACTCGTGCAGCATCACGAAATCTCCAGAACTGTAAAGCCTACAAACTTGAAATTTGACACATATGTTCCTCTTGGCTTCTAGCTGCTCGCTAAGAAAGGATTTTTTGAAATTACCATCAGAGCATTAGTATTTTATATATTATTAATAATATGCTTTGATGCTAAGGAGATCTACTCCCCTCCCCACCTGAAAAGAACCCTGTTCCAACTGCCAGTTGCCTCACATTTCCATCCCTTAATAACTTCACAGCCATTTGCACCACTCAGGTGACTGAGGACACAGATAAACCTCCAAGTTGTCTCACGACTCTCTAAAAGGATGCAAACTATACTTCCAAACAGGAAGCGACTTTGGCATTACCCACCATCCAGTCAGAGCTGAAGAAGCTCCTTGGATGAGAAACAAAACATCTTCAAAGAAAAACCAGAAAGTCCAGTTGGCTCCTGAAAAAAGCACCTTTGGGACAACAGTTGGAAGATTGTATTTTACAACACTTTTGCTGGATAGATAGATAGATGATAGATAGATAGATAGATAGATAGATAGATAGATAGATAGATAGATAGATAGAT